CCTGCATCCCCCTGTCTTCTTTTGTGACATGTGTTGTATTCATGGTAAATTTCCCATGTTGATATGCTCTTTGTTTCTCTGTAAGAGAGAAAAAAAGGCAAATTTCGGCGAAGGGAAGAGAAAGTGAAGTGACCAGAAGAGGGATGGTTTTCCACCAGAAAAGAGCAGTGTGGGATAAATTAAAATGTGCAATTTGGTTCCTGCTGGTGGCACAAATTTATTGTGTGAATAAATCTGCCATTCTCTAGGTGTGTGATGAAAATAAATCCACCCCCCTGTGGGGTTCAGGCTGGTGCGAAGCTGGCTCACCCAAGTGAGCGATGAGAGCGTCAAAACGAGTTAAAAGGTGGTCGCCTCGTGTGTCGTGAGGAAATGCACCGTAAACACAAGCTGGTCAGCAGAAATGGGGTTCAGGAGGACGCCGGCACCGTGTGCAGAGACGTCTCTCGGAAACCACGGGCGGGGAAAGCTCTGGGAGCGGAGCTGCAGGGTTGACCTTCACTCGGGAAGAGGGTGATTTCATTTTTCAAAGCGTCTTCTTAGCATAATAGGACTCAGAGGGCACAGGCAGCCGGAGATGATCCTGTTGCCAGGGGAGCATTCCCTCCCCAGTGAAATTCACTTGGGGCAGAAGCGTTTGTGTAGGCAGAACTGGACCCCACTGGAAGAACACGCCGTCCTCGATATCCTTTTCCAAGAAGAGGCGAGCACAGGGGTGCGGCGACGGAGGACAGAAAGTTAAACTCGGGTGCACCGTTCCTCCCCAGCCCCAGACCACTGAGGCACGAGAGGACGGGCCACCTGCGCACGTAAAGACAGTAACAAGGCAGGGGCACCACACAGCTCCTTGTAGACCGACTTTCTAAGCGCTCCGTGCAGGAAATGGAGAAGGAGCTTTTGTTCTACTGGTCTTGGTGCTGCCTGAGCCTTCCACCAACGTGGGGGTTCGCACCCCCACTGTTAGAGCCTGGGCACACTTGTCTCTTATTTATAGACCTTGGTCCCTTATTTATAGAATCCTCTAGAGCATCTGAAGGGGCCTTGAATTTTTTAGCTCTGCTGCACTGCAGCTGATGGAGGAAACGGCATTGCTTTGGTGCTATTCGCAAATACCGAGACCGACAAGCTCTGGGGTCGAAACGACTTTCCATACGTTCCTTTGACAAAAATCATCGTGCCAGTCACCCGGCTTGTAGCTTGAGGCCTGTTGGGCTGACATGGCCTCGGGGCTGCATGAGAACCCAACCCCCAAGCCCAGCCCACCTCAGGGCCTTGGCACCTGCTGTTCCCTGGCCAGGAGCAACCCCCCCCCCCCTCCGCCATAGGGGTACTCACAGGGCTCACTGCCCTTAGGTCTCCGCTCAGATGTGGCCTTCCCTCACCAAGTGCCTCAAATAGTGTCCACTCCCTCTATCCTCTCCAGCCTTTACCCTGCCACTTGTCCCCCACCTGCCGGTAGGTCCGCGGTGCACCTGCGTGATCCGTGTCTGCCCCTGCCCCACGACTGTGGGCTCTGAGGCAGGGCTGTGCTGTTCTACCAGAGCAGCGTGTCATTCCACAGCCTAGTGAAGGTCGAGAGCCTGCGTCATTCATGCGTTTGCCTTGCGGGAACCCATTTCCGCTTCAGCCACCCTTGGGGCGACCGTGTGGATTTTTCAGTTCTAGCTTCGGTGTAGCTCAAGACCGAGTCCCCTCCCCCCAGCTGCTTCCAGGACCTGAGCCCCGCGAGGCCCCCTGCGTCCCCCCAAGGGGGCATCTCCACACCCCCATCAAGGATCCCCACCCCCATCAGCATCTTAAGCCCTAGCTGCTACCAGCCCTTACGTTCTTTCTGCTCTGTGTTTGGGTCGCTGGGAAGAAGGGCAACCAGGGGAGACCATAAAGCAGCCTCGACTGGGGTGAGCAGAATCCCGGGTCACTTATCCAGCAGCCCCTTACCTTCCTGTCCTGAGGAGCGGCATCGGGGCAATGATGAGGGGACAGTACACCAAAGTCAGAAAATGACCCACTTGCTGTTTATAGCCCAGACCCGCCATCTGCAGCCATGCGAGGTTCCTTTGGGTGCTCTTGACCCTCGTGGGAGAGCAGCTTGGACTTGTCATGGCCTTGGGGTAGGCCAGCCCCTTGGGTTCTGTTGGCCTTCATAAGGTTTCTTAAAAACCAGGCTATGTCATGAACAGGTAAAATTCAGGGGATTTCACATAGATTTCTGATTCTAGCTTTTCTTCGGGGGAAAAAAAGGCGACGCTAAGCGTGTAGACCTACGTGGGGGCGCCTGGGTGGCTCAGTCAGTCAAGTGTCCAACCTCAGCTCAGGTCATGATCTCACGGTCTGTGGGTTTGAGCCCCACGTCAGGCTCTGTGCTGACAGCTCAGAGCCAGGAGCCTGTTTTGGATTTGGTGTCTCCCTCTCTGACCCTCCCCCGCTCACTCTCTGTCTCTCTCTCTCTCTCTCAAAAATAAGTAAACATTAATTAAAAAATTTAAAAAAAGGAGTGTAGCCCTATATGGCAGGTGCTGGCTGGAGCTGGGCTGTGGCCCCCAGCCCAGGGCATTCAAATTCACAGCCACTCCCTGGGTGCCTGGTGGAAACTGATACTGTTCATGTTGGTTTAGCTTTTCCATAAAAACCCACGGCCTCCCATCAACCCAGTGCCCGGCCGTCCTGGAAGCCAGCCCAGCAGAGCTGCTGGGTTTCCGTGCCTCTCCTCCCGGTGCCATTCTGGATGTCGCTTCCAGAACTCTCCTTCAGACCCCACGTTCTGTAACACAACATAGCAGAAGGGTCACGTGCTCCAAGAGGAACCCCCAGTGCTCCACCCGGATGGCTTACCGAGGTCGTAAAGATGGATGGATGCTATTTTATGCATCCCAAGAGGTCGTACCTGTGAATTCCCACTTGGTTATCTTTGACATCACTTAATGATGCGGTCCAGTCGCTGCTGTTGAATTCACATCTGTCTCCAGCACGGTGCATTCGCGCAACCCGACGGCTCCACTCCGATGCCAGAATCACATCTTGGACCCAATCTGTCCGAACTGAGCCCCTGCTCTCTGCTCCCAAACCTGCTCCACCCAGAGCCTTCCCAGCTCAACTGTTCCTCTCCTGCAGCCACATCCCTGGGTCCTGTCTTTACTATGTCCGCGGGATCTGAGCAGCCTGTGTCCCGCCTCCACCACTGCCTGGTCTCCCTGCTGTCACCTCCACCTCCCCTCATTCAGTCTGTCCCCCACTCAGCGCCTAAGTCAGGTCAAGCACTCCCTTGCCCTAGAACCTGCAGTGGCTCCCCATTTCACTCAGAGCAAGGCCCTGAGTGACCTGGCCCTACCACCCCCACTTAGGCCTCCTGAACCCGTTTCCCCGGCTGCACCTTGGTGCTCCAGTAACAAAGCACACACAGGTCTCACCTCACTGGTGCCTGGAGCACAGCACCACCCTCCAGCCCCACTCTGTTCTGCTTTGCCTGTTTTTCCACAGCATTTTCTGACGTCTAACACTCTGTTTTGTTTCTTATTCCCCGGCTTGTTGTCTTACTATACAAGGGCGAGGTTCTTGATCTGTCTGGTCACTGCTGTGTCCCCAGTGCCAAGGACAGAGCCTGACACAGCGGCACTCAATAAATATTTGCCAAGGGGATGAAATTCAATAGGTAGAAGCATCTTTAAGCATTCCAATAGAAACATCTTGAGTTCTGTTTTTAAATGGAGATTTTGTTTGTTTGTTTAATATTGAAAGAGTCCACATGTAAGTGACTGGGAGGATGTCATGGGGACTCGGTTGTGTCCATTACCTGACCTTGGCAATCATGAGTTGGTGGCCAGTGTCATTTCGTCTACATCCCCAGCCACTGCCCAGATGATTAGGAAGCAAGTTCAGGCCATCATCTCATTCCATCTGCAGATAGTTGAGTATGTGTTTCTTTTTATGCTCCATAGTACTTGTTAGGTGGGTATCCCGGAATTTATTTCATCCGGCCAGTCTCACGGGGTGCTGTTAGCATATGTCTCTTTACACTGTGTGAAGCTGATTGTCCTTTCCTTGGAACTTCTGGAATCGACCCCAGCTCCGCAATACTTTTCTCTTCAACTAAGATGTACATTCTTTGCAATTCTTGTTACCCGTGGAAAAACAAGACAGAATAAAGCAAAACACTCCAAAATGCCCGTCTGTCTCCATGATAGCATATGTTCTCGCTTACAGGTACTTTGTGTGAGGGTTAATTTTTTTTTTTTTTTACAACTTTTACTTAGGTGCGATTTCACTCTTCAAGTTGCAAGGATGTACAAACGACACTCCATATATCCTCCAGCCCGACTCACTGGTTGTTAACATTTTGTCCCAGTTAATTGACTGATTGATCGGTTGATTTGATTTTTTTTTTTCTCTTAGTAAGCTCTAGGCCCGTCGTGGGGCTTGGATTCACGACTAGTGACTCAAGAGTTGCAGGCTCTTCCTACCGAGCCAGCCAGGCACCCCTTGTCCTCGTTGATTTATATTTGTACTTTCTGTGCACGTGTGTGTGTGTGTGCGTGTGTGTGTGTGTGTGCTTTTTAACCATCTGAGATTGCCCCCTTTACCCCTGAACGCCGCACCGTGTAGCTCCTAAGACTAGGGGCATTCATTCATTTTACATGACCACAGTTACACTTAGGGAATTCTGAATATTTAGCATTAATATAATACCGTTATCTAAACCGCAAACTGTACTGGGATTTCTCCCCTTGCTGCCATAATGTCCTTTATGGCAGTGTTTTCCCACCCGGGATCCAGTGCCAGGATCGCCACTGCCTTCTGTTGCCATGTCTGCCCAGTCTCCTTTAATTTGGAACAGCTCTCCAGGCTTTCTTTGTCTTTCGTGACCTTGACATTCTTGGAGAGTACAGGCCAGTTGTTTTATAGAGTGCTTCTCAATTTGGGTCTAATAGATTTTTGAGCTGCACTCCGAGAATGCAATAACATAATATATATATAAAGGAGCACCCCCTGTTTTCTGCCTGCAGGACCCGGGAGCCGACGAGAGAGACCCCTATCAGCAACCCGGAAACCCGTGCGCGAGGCTGAGGACCGAGAGGAAGATGCCTCGGCTGTGCTCAGGGCCATCCAGGTGGAGAACGAAGCCCTGCAGAGGGCGCTCCTCAGCAGAAAGGGGGAGGCCCCCAGCAGCCCGCTGCAGGTGCGTTCTGGGGCGCAGGGGAAGGACGACACAGGAGGCTACTCAGGGACCCCGTGGTGTCTGAGCAGCATTTGCAAAGAGCACGCGGTGAGGAGAGAGACGTTGTGGGCGTCCCTGACCTCAGACTAGCTGCTCGTCCGCTGCTGGATGCGCAGTCGCTCACTGACCTACCCAAGTGCCCATTTCGTCACCTTCCTTCCATTCTTTGTTTATTTCCGAAGGCCAAAGGTGAATGCCTGTTTGCCTCTGATCCTTGCCGACCTCCCGGCGAGCCCTGGAAGCCTCAGCCCAGGGTTGCAAACTGGTGGCTGAGGGAAAGAATAGAGTAGACAAGAGCCCCGGCTTCTCCGGAAAGACCTCATTCCCCAGAGCGTGAGCCCCTCGGGCCTCCGCCGCCCTCAGCACCTCCTGTTGTCCTGCCCCTGACCCACTGCACCTGTTCAGGAGACCTCCATGGCCCTGCAGGGGTTTGGGTCGGTGCCCACTGCCTTCAGCTTTGAGCAAGAAGCAGGAAGCTACATGGTGGGGCGGAGTAGGGACCCTTCGGGAGCTGGAGGCTGTGGACACGCCCCCGAGCACACATCCTTTCTCAGAAGCCGAGAAACCGCCTCACCGGCCGAAGCCCTTTATCGTAGCTTGTCCTACTCGTTGCCCCCAGTAGGCCAGAAACAGGCAGGCCTGGTCTCATCGCCCCATTTCCTAGATGTGACTGATGGCACCCAGAGAGCAAGGTGGCTCACTCAGGTCACGTCTTTGGAAGGCGCAGAGGTATGCCTGCCCACAGGCCTGGGGCCCCGTCCACACCACCAGTTTCTCCCCAGGCTCTGTTAGGGGCTGCCCTCTGGGGCGTTCATCGAGCAGCAGCACCCTATTGTCTGTCTTCCTCAAGCTCACTCCTTTGCCTCTGACAACTTTTTTTAAGGTTTATTTATTTACTTTGTGTGTGAGAGAGAGCACGAGCAGAGCAGGGGCAGAGAGGGAGAGAGAGAATCCCAAGCAGGCTCTGCACCGTCAGCACAGAGCCCAACGCGGGGCTCGATCTCATGACTGTGAGATCATGACCTGAGCTGAAATCAAGAGTCGGGCTTTCAACCGACTGAGCCACCCCGGGCCCCCATGCCCCTGACATTTGTGTCTCTAGGATCTTGAGACAGCCCCCGTGCCTCTGTGCCCTCATCTATTAGTGAGGAGTCAACAGCACCTGGCTTTGTTATGACCTCAGATCGTGTGATTACCTCATTCCAGGACACGGAGGGACCACCAGCAAAATCGTGGACCAGTCTACTGAAGGGGAAGGAAGAGAGCGCTGAGGTTGGTGAAGGCCTGAGCACAGCAAACCCCGGTGCCCACTGTGCCCCACGGCACCCGGTGGCCTCCACAGGGCTTTCCCCACGTGGTCCCAGCAGACACTCACTGTGTTCCCTGGGCAGCTGTCCTGCCCGTTTCACAGATGGGGAGACCCGGGCTGGCACAGCTTGCCCGAGGTTACGAGTGGAAGGCGGGATTCACCCAGGCCTGGGGACTCCAGCTCCTTGTTACGTTTTGGTTTCCCGACAAGACAACACAAAAACAGATCTTAGTATCCTGAATAAATAAATAACGTCTGTATCTACTAGGTCACTCAGACCTATCTCAGCCAAGACAGCCCCTGCAAATAGACACAAGGGGGACCCATGAATTATTAATGGGACACCCAGAAACGTCTTTGTTAGATTGTGCACAGGTCTGTGCCCTGTGCTTAGAATACAGAGTGGCTAAATCAGGTCAGATTAGCCCCTGGCCTCGTGGAACTTCCAGAAAACAATCAAGTAAAGCCATAAATAAACAAGGTGCTTTCAGAGAGAGAGGACAGTAAAAGATCATAGATGGTTGCTGCCTCCGAAAGCGTGGTCCAAGGGAGCCCCTGGGAAGGTGCCGTTTGAGCTGAGCCCCGTCTCTTAGGGAATGAGCCGACAACAGGGGACAGCAGTCCAGGTGGAAGCAACAGGAGACCCTCTGAAGTGGGAATGAGCCCAGCCTGACCCAGGAGTGGGAAGACAGAAGCCTGACTGGTGGGGGAAGAGGGAACACAAGGGGGACACAAGAGGGTAGGGGGTAGAGAGTGAGGCTGGGATGGGAGGAGAGAGCGCCCACGGGAGAGGGCGGTAGGCAGGGCAGGACGCCAGAGCACCATAGTGGTTTTCTTTATGCGTCCCTCCTGCTTGGTCTCTTATTTCCCAGTCATCCTGAGCCATTGCCAGCTGACATTTCTGACCAGTCTGCGGCCCTGCCCGCCGCACGGCCTGGGATTTCTGGATGACCTGACGCACCCCCAACCCACCGAGCTGCCGGCGACTAAACTCACTTGCAGATAGAGCAGAGCACGTGTCTAGTTTAGATGACAAATGTAAGAGAAGGAGGATTAAAAATGAAAGGGCCCTAAGGATGTTACTGGAATGCTCCATGGAGTCTGGTTACTTTGTAGCAAGCAGAGCAGGGGTATGGTTGAGATGGGGAAAGACTTTGAGAGAAAATGTTTGCCTTAGCTGATTGAAGAGATTGCTTCCTGGGACCTCCCGGACCGGAAGAAACTGACGTGTCTGTCTCTTTGCAAAGATCATGGCCCCGGGTGGAGGTGGGGCGGGGAGGGATCCTGGATCTAATCAGCCCAGTTTTCCCTGTTATGCTCATTCCTGTTCCCTCCTCCTGTCTAATAAGCTTCTCCGTCCTCAGCCACTTCCTACCCCTGAGGCGACTGGCAGGCCCAGCCCGCAGGAGCCGTGCAGGGCCACGGGGGGAACCACAGTCGTCCGTGAAGCCATTGACAGAATCGGCCTGCTGGGGAGCAGGTAGGTACCGAGCCTGCTTCCAAACACAGCCGAGAGCCCCACAGCAGGGCAGCCATGAGGATCTCGTTAGCTGAGGTTTTGCTTTGCTCCTCCTGTGTTCTTTCAGACCCCGTAAAACTGCCCCCTGGCACTCTAGCCTCCCTCCCCCTCCAGCCCGAAAGCCCGGAACAGACTCGATGTGTTCCCGGCAAACGTGTCTGCGCCTGTTGGATTCGGTCCAGCCCGGTGTAAGACTTCATCCTCCTCAGAGGCCTCCCCAGAAGTACGCCACGCAGCAGGGGGTGCTGGCCTGGGGGGTGGAGGGTGAGCGTGGCCCACAGCCCCGCTGCCCCGGCCGGTGTGTGGGGCTGCACGCGCCGTGGTCTGTGCAGAAGGCCCGTGCCTGTCTGAGGGGCAAGGGGGGCTGAAATCCAGCTGGCGTGCTGGGCACTAAGCTGGGGCCCCCGCCGGGGACCGCAGCAGCCCGGAGAGGGACGAGGGCTTTTTCTCCACTGCACGAAAGAGGAATTTCCGGGCCAAGCTGTGCACCCTCTGGGTCTGTGTCCACCGCAGAGGAGTTTCCTTCCCCTGATTTGCAGAAAAACTCTGAACAGGCCATTCCAGCCATCCCTCTAGGAGTCTACAGACCCCAGATCCTGGAAACCACGGCCGTGCATCACTGTGGCCATAAGTAAGCCCTCGCTGGTTCCCCTTGTGCCCACGGGCTGGTGCCAGAGGCGACCTCACACCCGATGCGGTCCTGTTTATAGGCAGCACACACACACCCCACTGGGAGCCGTATTTTCCACCCTCAAGATCCTTGGTGCTCCGGGGTCTTGCGGCTCTGCAGCCTTAAACCGCACACGCGTGGGGTGCATTTGCAAACCACACTCTGCTGAGTTGGGAACGCCCGCATCCTCAGAAGCAAGAGGTACAAAGTGAGTCTCTAGGCCGGGAGTAGCAAACGTGTGTTTAACAAAGGGCCACACAGCGAATGCCCTAGTGAGTAGGGCTTTTCACTTTTTGTTTGTTTGTTTGTCTTAACAACCCTTCAAAAGGTAAAAACCATGCTGAGCTCTCAGGCTGCGGACTGGATTCCGCCCGCCTGCTGTCCTTTGCCACCCCGCTGCTCCAGCCCCTGCCCAGCCGAGGGAGTCTGCGGGCTGCCTTGCCCCAATTTCCTCTTCTTTGATCACGAATTGTGTGGTTATGATAAAGGGGGGAAACAGCCTGTGTGCGCCTTTGAACCGCGTGCGGGGTGGGTACTCTCTCCTCAAACCACCGCTTCTTTTGAAATAGAAAAGCCAGTGCGGGGCCCTGACGGGCACGCTCTCTGTTGCATACCATCTGTTACCACCCGTTTGCTGAAACCAAATCACATTTCAGACAACAGCAAAGGCTTCTAAAAGTCCTCCAGGCCATCGAAAGCGACTCTGTCCGCCTCAGCAGGGCTGTTTCACCGACAGAGGAGCCAGTGCCGGATCCAGAGGTGAGATGCTCGGCTTCTGGGGGTTTCCAGATGCATCCAGCATCTCGCGCGAAAGGTCAGGGAGGAAGGGCCCCTCGGGGTAATTATCTCTCTGCAGGGCAGGCGGGGGGGATGGCTGCCACAGTGGTAAACTTCACCTCTCTCTGCCCGAGTCTCCATCCTCCTCCTGCCCAGCACCCAGATGTACATGTGATGGCACTAAATGCTGCAGCAGAGAGGAGCCTGTCCACACAAAAGGCAAAATATAAAATAGCATGTAAACCCACAGGAAAATGTCCAACATCGCTGGTAATCCAGAAATGCAGATTCAGGGGCGCCTGGGTAGCTCAGTGGGTTAAGCATCTGATTTCAGCTCAGGTCATGATCTCACGGTTCATGAGTTCGAGGCCTGCATCGGGCTCTGTGCTGACAGGTCAGAGCCTGGAGCCTGCTTCGGATTCTGTGTCTCCCTCTCTTTATGCCCCTCTCCTACTGGCGCGCGCGCTCTCTCTCTCTCAAAATAAAATAAACATAAAAAATTTAAAAAGAAATGCAGATTCGAGCAACCTTAATGTCCTATCTGATATCTGAGTTTGCAGATTATTTTTGATGATAGGCTCTGGACCTGCAGGGTTACAGCAGGCTTACCCAGCTGGCAGCAATAGAAACGGGTGGAAGGAACTCTCTTGAAAAGCACAAAGACCGGGTTTAAGAAGAGCCGTAGAAATACTTAATGTCCTCCCAGCCCAGCGATCCGGCTTCCCCACCCCCTCAGGAAATCACTCCACAGCGAGAAAAAGCTATAGGCGCGAAGATGTCTGTTGCAGAATGATTGGAAGTAGGGAAGAATGAGGGGAAAAAAAAAAAAAAAAAGAACCAGAAATAACATAGACGTCTCATGATAACGGAGTTAATCGGGAAGGTGTGATACATCGGCACAGAGCAGTAGTCTCAAAGGAGGGGAATTATCGTTACGGAGGTTACGCAGAGTGAAAATGTTAAGGATATAACCAGTTAACTGCAAAAGGTGATGTTTGTCCTCGTTGAGTCCAGCCTCTCTTGTGATTCTTCAGCACAGCGGTCACCCACCCTCCGCTTGGCCGATGAGGACTTAACTCAAAGCCCTCTGAGAGCCACATGTCAAACTCCTGTGACAGCAGAAACCCCCCCTCCGCCCCCTGCCCGGGCCCAGACCGGAGTCTGGCTCTAAGTCTGGCACCATGATCTAGACGGCATGTGACCTGAGGCCAGCTTCTTAAGCTCTCTGATCCTGCGTGGGGTGTCGCTGTCACACGGGGTAAATAGTCCACAGCCATGGGCTGCTGTGAGGACAAAACGTTTTGTGAGGGTGGGCACCTCAGTGCCTGGCACAAGGCGAGGAGGATCTGGCAAATACCAGTTGAAAGTCTGACGTCTAGAAAAATCTAGAGGAGTCAAAGCTTTGCCCCCCACCCCCACCCCTGCCGCCCACACGGAACAGTGGCTTTCTCAGCCATGAAGATCCTGAGTGTGATAAAGCTTCAGCCACATTAAAAAGAGCCTGGGTTGATCAAGTCTTTTTATAGGAAACAGAAAACCCAGGGCAAACGGACTTCTACAACGAAGCGAAGGAAATGAAAGACTGTTGTAACAAACGCCACAGCGGGGACCAGTTGGGGCTCAACCCAGCAGCTCGTGCTGTGTCTCCACAATGCCAGCCACTTCCTCGAGCTCCGTCCCCACCTCAGCACCCAGGCCCGGCTCTGCTGTCTCCCTGGGACCCCTCAAAAGCTAGAGTGGTTACCGCCCCTTGCCCTCTTCGCCTCGGGCCCTACAGTCAGGAGCGAAGAGCATTTCTTCCACGCACAGAACTGAGATTGGGTCACGTACCCATCACAGAGCTACCCCCCCCCACCCCCACCCCTCGGTGGCTCAGGGGACAGGCCACGCTGTTTCATTGGAGCAGTCGGGCTCCTCCTTGGGCTGAGAAGGGGTCCTTCCCCCTCTGGGACCATCGTCATGGCTGAGAAGAGACACGAGAGAGGAGGAGGGCAGGGAGTGCGGAGACCCGGAGCGGCCCAACCCGCATTTACCTTAGCCCCCCCCCCCCCAGGGATCCTAAATCGGGCGAGTCAGGAGCAGGGGGGCCATCGGCTCGAGACGCTGGCAGGTTGTGACGCGTCCTCAGTCAGTAGACCCTCCGGCTGCTTCATTTAGAAGCCCCGCTGCAGGACGTCGCACGTTTTAGATGGCACGGGCTGTGGGATCCGCCGGCCCCTCTGCGAGGCAGCTCGCCTCCCATCTGGACCTCCCCCTGCTGCCGGCAGCCAAGGTGAACCTCCCTTCACGCCTCCCGCCGCTCACCTGGCGGAGCAGCTCATTAGCCTCCTCACCCTCCCCCCGCCGCCCCACTTGAACGAGGCCGGCTTCGGTTCATCACTGTCCTTCGAGTCTGGGACTCGGGCCCAGGGCGGCAGAGGGCCTTGGCCAGGGCCCCACCCGGCTCTGCCCAGAGCAGGCGGTGCCTGCGGGGTCTGCTGGTAAGAGCGGGCCCTGTGTTCCCTCTGGGAGCTGGGAGCTGACCTCCCTCCCTCCCCGTCCCCATCCCCGTTGCGTGGCCATCAAGGCTCGTCCAAACACACGCTGAGGGCGATGGCACGTCTCGCTGGCTATTAATTAAAAAAGTAAGTAGGGAACAGTTGCTGTTCATTTGCTCAACTCCCTGCTCACAGAACCATTGCAGATTACCAGTGCTAATTAACAGAGGGCATGTGCACGCAGGGAATGCACCATTTTATGAGGGACTGATCCGTGGCGACCAGCACTGCAGTCGGGGCCCGAAGGGGCCTCGGGAAGCCATTCCGCAGCGTGGCTGTTTATTGATGGCATTCACGCGGCCTCGGACTGGAAAGCCAGCCCACGAAGGAGGCGGTGCTAAAATCAGTGAAGGGAAAACATGGGAGGAAGTGGACACTCAGGGAGCACACACGGGGGGCCAGGACCCATGACAGGGACTTCCCCCAGTATCCGTATCTCACTTAGTCTCCATGACGGGATTGTCAGAGAGATGGTGTCATCTGAATTCATTTGCTAGGGTAGCCACACCTCAGACGGGGTGGTGGCCTAAACAGCAGAGATGTATTTCTCTCAAGTTCTGCAGGCTGAAGTCCAAGGTCAAGGTGTGGGCAGGTTTGATGGCTCCTGAGGCCTCTTCTCCTGCCTTGCTGATGGCCGTCCTCTGGCTGTGTCTCAACACCATCTTTCCTGTGTGCATGACCATTTCTGGTGTTTCTCCTGGGCAGATTTACGCCCCCCCCCCTTTTTTTTTTTTTTAATTTTTAAAATTTATTTATTTTGAGAGAGAGAAAGAGAGGATGAGTGGGGTAGAGGGAGAGAAAATTCTAAGCAGGCTCCGTGCCATCGTTGCAAAGCCTCACGTGGGGCTCAAACTCACAAACCGTGAGATCTCGTCATGAGCAGACATCAAGAGTCCGATGCTTAACCGACTGAGCCACCCAGGAGCCCCCAGATTTCCCCTTCTCCTAAGGACATGGTTCACATTGGATTTGGGCCCACCCTCACGGCCTCATTTTAACTTAATTACCTCTTTAAAGGTCGTGTCTCCAAATATAGGAACATGCTCAGGTACTGGGGTTAGGGCTTTCGCATCTGAATTTGGGGAGGTGGGGGACACAATTTAGCCCATAACACCTTCCCCAACTCAGCCGATAGGCCATGAACACTTGGTAATGAGGAAAGAAGAGCACGTTCAGCCACAATGTGATGCCTTGTAAACATTTTTTTTGTTACTTGCAAACTCTTATGGCAAATACCAACTGTTCACAGTAACTGTTTCAAATGCTTTTCAAATATGAGCTCATTTAATCTTTGTAATAACTATATGTAATGGGTGCTGTTCTCATCCTCATTGTATGGATGGGGAAACTGAGGCACTGAGTGGCTAAATAACTTGTCGTGTAGTGGTGAGCTGAATCCAGCCTGTCGTGTTTTGACCTGTTAGCATTATTTTTATGTCTGTTAAGGACAAACTGAGAACAAGAGGCGGAGAGATCGAAGATGCCGTCTACGTGACCATGGAAATCCTGTCCAACTGGGGCCATACGTCCTGGGTGGGTCTCACGGAAGTTGAGTTCTTTGACCGGAACAACACAAAGCTTTATGTGTCGCCCCATGACGTGGATATCCGGAACACGGACACGCCCGGGGACCTGGGCCACCTGGTCAATAGGAACTTAGCTGTAAGTGGAGGCGGTGCTTGAAACTACAGTGAGCCTTGGCCTTGTGTTTTGATGCATTTTCTCTGCCCACGATATGACTGTGATGCAGGTGGGGGGGGGGGTGCAGGTATGGGGAGGGGAAGAAGATAGTTGTCCATCCTCATTCATTCAGGCAAAGTGGAAGGAGCCTGAGGGGAAGGTGTGGGTGAGGAGGGCCCCCGAGCCGTTCCCCAGCTCATTCCCAGATCCCTGGGCTTGTTCTTGGGAGAATAGGGCGCAAAGAGGAGCCAAGTCACCTCCTTCTATCCACCCTGCAGTTTGCCACAGTCACCACCAAATATGGAACCTTGGGGGTCATTGAGGTCAATGCCTTTATTTTATCAATGAAGAAACAGGGGCTTGGAGAAGAATATTGACTTGGTCAAGGTCACACCTCCAGAAGGTAGTGGGGCCACGTTCACATTCCTGCAGCCTGGCCCAGGGCCCATGTCCACAGCATCCCCCCACCCCCCAGTCCTGCTTCCCAACAAACATCAAGTACACACCCAACACACATCACACGTTCCTGTCCTTTATTTCATTTTATTTTGGGGGGAGAGAGAGTGTGCACATGCATGAGCAGGGGAGGGGCAGAGGGAGAGAGAGACAGAGAGAGAGAGAGAGAGACAGAATCTTAAGCAGGCTCCATGTTGAGCAAGGAACCCAACATGGGGCTCGATCCTACAACCCTAGGATCATGGCCTGAGCCAAAATCAGGGGTCAGATGCTCAAATGACTGAGCCACCCCGGTGCCCTGAATGTTCCTGCCCTTTAAATATCTAATAGTCAAAAAAGGAAAGAAGGAGGGAGGGAAGAAGGGGAGGGAGGGAGGAAGGAAGGGAGGGAGGAAGGGAAGGAAGGAAGGAGGGAAGGAAGGGCGAGCACTGGCATTTTCTCCTCTTTCCACTTGCAAATTGGACACAGAGACTGGGAGCTAAGCTGAGGTAGGCCGCCCAGCAGCATGTCTTGACTATGCGGTGCTTCACCCCCAGGGGGGGCCTGAGAACCTGGGGACAGACTTTGCCTCTGGGCCACAGAACCGGGTGGGCAAGGCACAGAGGCGATAGGAGGACTTCCTTTGGGGCCTTGTTGGCACCTTGTAAATCTCCCGCCAAGCACCTGTATTATCCATTCCAAAGAACAATTATAAATTTTTTAAAATGTATTGAAAATGAAATCAGCTCCCACATGTTCAGTTCTTACCTAGTGCCAGGCACGGGCTGTCATCCATATACCCTTATTTAATCCCAGCAGTACACAGGCTCAAGAAGCAGAAAGGCCCGTGTTCGAAGCTTACCGTTTACAGCCTCATGAGCACAGGCAACTCACCTGACCTCTGCTTTAGCTTCCTCATCTGTAAAATGGGCGTAATAATGGAACTTACCTTGCTACGATGTTGTGGGGATCAAATATAACTATTAAAAGCTCAGCACCGTGGCTGGCTCTTCCTAAGGGCTCCAAAACACCAGCTCTTGTTATATTTGTTGTTTTATTGGTAATAATATTAATACCACTAAGAAGAGATATCATTCCCATTTAAAGAAGAGGAAGTAAGAAAAGGGAGCTTGGGAATCCTCCGTTCTAGAGACCCGCATTCTGGTTTTGACTTCAGCAACTTACCTGCCTTCTCAGAGAATCAGTTACTCGGCCCCCCCGCCCCCCCGTAAAATCGAACTGGAGGGCACGGATAACCCATACGATTCTCACTTGTCTGCAAAAGAAACTGGAGTCTGGCTCACTTTAGCAAATTTCTAACAAAGGAATTTGTTGCAAGTCTTTGGGTAGCTGGGAAGACTCGCTGTCACCCAGGCCAGAGGACCCCGTGGTCATGTTGGGATTCTAGGCAGCATCCAGGATGTGCACCAAGGGTGTGGTCTTTTTTGGGGGCGGCGGGGGGCAGTGTGCATTAGTTGGTTTGTCATCCTGTCGCCCTGCTGTGGATAACACGGTCGCAGGAGAGGAAGGCTGATGGGTGACCCTGGCTAGGAAAGTGGCCACCGTGATGCCAGTTACCTCGAGATGCCACAGCAGGGCAGGGAGAAACTCTCCCTGGAGGAGATTCAGGGTTGTTACTGAAGGGAAGGCAGGATAGATGCTAGGTCTCTGAGAGACACTACCCGTCCATGGGGTTGGACTGGGTGGTGACCGCCCTCTAAGATCGGCAGCTCCGTGACCTTGAAAGAAACAGGTCCCATAGGTCACAGCCACTGGGATGCTCTGGCCTTGGGTTTTCCTGCTCTGCTTCCTGCTTCAAGTCTGTAGGCACCCCTCTCCCGTCTCCCTTGTGCACAGAGCAGCAGCACTTTGGAAGCCTGCTGCACAGAACAGGGCATCCTGGGGCAGTAAAAACATCATTGGATTTGGTGGGGGCCAGTTTGTTTTTTAAGTTTATTTGTTTATTTTGAGAGAGACAGAGACAGTGCCAGGAGGGGAGGGGCAGAGAGAGAGGACAGAGAGAGAGAGAATCCCAAGCAGGCTCCTCACTGCCAGCACAGAGCCCGATGTGGGGCTCAAACCCACGAAGCCCTGAGATCATAACCTGAGCCGAAACCAAGAATGAGATGCTTAACCGACTGAGCCCCCCCCAGCGCCCCTGATGGCCGCCAGTTTCTATAATTACTGTTCCTTTCCCTCCGCTTAGCAGAGGCTGGTGAGCTTTGCCATGTGACGGCGGGGACAAGCCCAGCCCATGGTTTTGGCGGGCTTGGGGTTTTAAATTTTTGACCCTGAGGTTGGGGCATGGGGCAGCCATCTCTTCCTGGGCTACTGGGTCTCCAGGCCCAGCTGTGGGCAGGCTGAATTCGCTGTGCCGTCCTGGCACGGGGTCTCCCCGATGGTCCCCCTACGTACGAGGTCCGGGACTACCAACACACGCAGCCTCTCCGGATCACCCGGTTTCGCAGGGGTGTAGCCCCACAGCGTGCTAGCCGGGGTCCTCAGGCATCCCTCGTGCGATGCTCACATGAACCTGGGGCTGCTCTCCACATTTGATTAAATGAGAAACCAAGTCTCAGGGAGGACTAGGGACCTGCCCCGGGCCATACTGCCACGGAGTCAGGGAGCTCGGCTGAAATCTGACCAGCAGGTAACTGAGAGTGGAGTCTGGGTTCAGAAGAGAAGTTGCTTCAGTGCAAGAGAGCTGGGGGCTGCCAGAACATACGGGGGTGCCCCACGCTCAGTGCAGGCCCGGCTCCCCTCTGTGCCCACGCCATCCCTCTTATTGGCTTCGCCCAGGCCCGTGCCTTCAAGATGATTCTAGATGGATATGCCAGGGCCTGCCTGCCTCTCTGAGTTCCTGATTTAAATGCCAACTTCCTGCTTGGCGTCTCTTGTCGGGCACCTGCTGGACATCCCAGACTTCAGTGATCTGAAACCTAACTTTTCATTCCCCTGCACTACCCACGTCTGTCCCGCCTACAAGATTCCTGTGCTCAGTAAATGGCATTGCTGTCTGCTTTGCTGCTAAGGCCACCTCTTAACCTCTTAGGAGTGTTCCTTGACTGCCCCGACCCCTTCCTGCCACCTTCCAGGACACCAGAAAGTCCTGTTGATTCCTCCTGCAATACACAGCCCGGGTCTGTCACCTTCACCCCCTGCCCACTGTTAAATGGCCTCCCGTCTCCTCGTCTTCTCTTCTGGCCCCATCTGCTCCATTTTCTACTCTGTAACCAAAGTGATCTTTTACAAATGTCAGCTTGCACCCCTCCCCTGCTTAAAACCCCAGCCATGACTTCCCAGAATACTTAGAAGTGAAATCTCATGCCTCCCGTGGCCTGGGAGGCTGTCTGTGAACAGGCCTTCGGCTCCCTCTACTGCCTCGGGCCCCGGGGCTCCAGCAGCCAGAGGCCGCCTTCTGCTCTTCCGACGCTTGAAGCTCATTGCACCTCTGGTCTCTGCCCAGAGCTTCCCTCCTCCAGAGTGTCGTGTGGCTACCTCCTCTCTCTTCATTTGAATTTCAGCCCAAATACCACTTTCTCAGCAAGCCCTTTCCTGACTCCTGTGTGGAGGAGTCTTTTCTCATGCCACCCCAGTCTTCCCCACCTGTCTCTATCACATCCTGTTCCTTCATTTTCTTCAGGGCGCTTCTCACATTAAGAAATGGTCTTGTTCACTCATTTATTATCTGTCTTCCCCTCTCCCCACACTTAGCTATACATTCTTGTCCTCACCATACTACATCCCCAGCACATAAATGTTCACAATACATTTTTTTGTACTTTTTGTTTGGAAATAATCGTAGAATCGCAGGAAATTGTGAACAAAACAAAACAAAAACCTTGTGCAGAGAAGAGAAAAATAATAAAGGGAAATCAGTGAAGCCAAAAGTTGGTTTTTTGAAAGGATCGGCAAAGTTAACAAAACTTTAGCCAGATCAGCAAGGGAAAAGGGGAAAGGATTCAAATAACTAAAATCAGGAATGAAAGAAGGGACATTAGTCGACCTGACAGGGAAAAAAAGATGGTTAGGGAATATTCTGGACAATCTTATGCCAGCAAATAAAGATATCCCGGATGAAATGGACATCGTCCTAGAAAGACACAAATCCCTAAGACTGAGTGAAGAGGAAATAGACCATCTGTCTAGACCTATAGCAAGTACAGAGATTGAATTAATAATAAAAAAAACTTCCAACAAAGAAAAACCAAGGACCAGATGGCTTCACTGGTGAGTCATACCAAATATTTGAAGAATTAACACCAATCCTTCACAACCTCTTCTAAAATGAAGAAGAGGGAAGACTTCCAAACTCATTTCATGAGACCAGTCTTACCCTGATCACAAAACCAAAGACATCCCAAGAAAAGAAAACTATAGACCAACAGCCCTTATGAATATAACATAAAGATCCTCAACAAAACATTAGCAAGCCAAGTCTCCCAGTTCATAGAAAGATTTATACGTTGAAACCTAGTGGACTTGCATGGGAAACCTAGCGGGAATGCATGGTTTGTTGTTCAATATATGAGAACGGATCAATATAA